CCTGAGTAGCTGGGACTACAGGCACAAGCCACTGCGCCACGTGCCACTGTGCCACGTGCCACTGTGCCTGGCCATTCATCAGATATTGATTGAGCACTTGCTATTACTAGACACTGTTCTAGGTGCTGGGGACTCAGCACGAGTTAAAGCAGAACCACATTCCTGCTCTCAGATGTGTCTGTGTAGAGACAGATAATCACCAAGGAAACAAATACATGAACTAGACCAATTATTTGCAAACTTGAGCATGGGTAAGAATCAGCAGTTAGGCCTGACGCAGTGGCTCACGCCTGTAGTCCCAGCACTTTGGGTAGCCAAAGACAGGCGGATCACCTGAGGTCAGGACCTCGAGACCAGCCTGGCCAACATGGCAAAACCACATCGCTACTAAAAATACAAAAATTAGCCATGGCACTTGGGTGCCACAATCATGACAGAAGAGCAGAGGCATGTTATACGTAGCAGCAGGCAAGAAAGCTTGTGCAGGGGAACTCCCATTTATAAAACCATCAGGTCTTATGAGACTTATTCACTACCACGAGAACAGTATGGGGGTGAAACGGCTCCCATAATTCGTTTATCTCCACCTTGCCCTGCCCTTGACACATGGGGATTATTACAATTTAAGGTGAGATTGGGATACAGTCAAACCATATCATCTGGCCAGGTGCGGTGGCTCATGACTGTAATCCCAGCCCTCTGCGAGGCCAAGGCAGGCGGATCACCTGAGGTCAGGAGTTCGAGACCACCCTAACAGGGAAAAACCCCATCTCTACTTAAAATGCAAAATTACCTAAGCATGGTGGTGCATGTCTGTAATCCCAGCTACTCGGGAGGCTGAGGCAGGGGGTTCACTTGAACCTGGAAAGTGGAGGTTGCAGTGAGCCAAGATCACACCATTGTACTCCAACCTGGGCAGCAAGAGCGAAACTCTGTCTAAAAAAAAAAAAAGAAGTATCATCTGCCTTTTGGCATCACCTGAAGGAAGTGATAACAGACACAGTGGAGCAGTGGGGGAGAATACTCATAAACTACCCCACCCAGTGCCTACGCATGCTAGTGCCTAATAGCTGGTAGCTTTTGTTCTTGGTAATGATATAAATATGTCATTCCTTACTCTGTGCAGGCATGGCTGAGCTTCAGTGCCCAGCCAGGGCCCTGGCTAGAATTAGTACCACCAAACCACATGATGATAAGAGATTGGAAGCTTGTGGTCGAAAGCTGGAAAAAGCAGGTAGAGAGCCTGCAAAGAAAGAAAAAGATGTTGGCTGGGCACGGTGGCTCACACCTGTAATCTCAGCACTTTGGGAGGTTGAGACTGGTGGATCACCTGAGGTTAGGAGTTCAAGACCAGCCTGGCAAACATCGAGAAACCGCACCTCTACTAAACATACAAAATTAGCTGGGCATCATGGCAGGCGCCTTGTAATCCCAGCTACTTGGGAGGCCGAGGCAGGAGAATCACTTGAACCCAGGAGGTGGAGGTTGCAGTGAGTCAAGATCGTGCCATTGCGCTCCAACCTGGGTATCGGAGGGAGACTCTGCTCAAAAAAAAAATGTGTTGAGTTTTTTCAGAAGATAAGAGCTCTGTTTCAATCTTCCTTGGCATCCCTTTTGACAAGAAACTTTATTGTGATTTCTGCATATGAGGCTAGCTACCTGGTATAAGAAAGAAAGGTATCAAGAGTGTGACGTTTCCTCCTGTTTCTGCATGTGATCATAAGGAATTTATGGTATAATTGGAGGCAACTGAATCCAAGAATAAGGATTTAGTTTATTTTAATGCCATGATATTGTTAGGTAAATGATTAGAGAGTATGAGACAAAGTAGCCATTTGGTAACCATTAGTAAATAACTAATGTCAAGGAAATTATCGGAAGTGCTTTGAGAGTCTCAACTTGTTAAATCTCAGTTGGCTCAATTGATCTGTCAAGACTCTTGTAGCTGACGCATATCTTTCTTTCATTATTTTTTCTTGGTTAATAAAATCAAGAGTTTTGCACAGGGAAGGTGATCAAATCCCCAACTCAGGAATAAATCCTAATTAACCTAAGCCAGTTTGATACGCTCATTCCCCTTGCCAGTGTCTTTTTTTTTTTGTTTTTGAGACGAAGTTTCGCTCTTGTTGCCCAGGCTGGAGTGCAATGGCGTGATCTTGGCTCACTGCAACGTCTGCCTCCTGGGTTCAAGCAGTTCTTCTGCCTCAGCCTCCCGAGTAACTGGGATTACAGGTGTGTGCCACCATGCCCAGCTAATTTTGTATTTTTAGTAGAGATGGGGTTTCTCCATGTTGGTCAGACTGGCCAGCCAGTGTTTGTTTTAGGAATTGGTGGGTGATACAGTTTTGGTCGGTAAGAGAGATATATATATATGTATATTTATTTATTTATTTATTTATTTTTGAAACGGAGTCTCACTCTGTCACTCAGCCTGGAGTGCAATGGTGTGGTCTCGGCCCAATGCAACTACCGCCTTCCAGGCTGAAGCATTCTCCTGCTTCAGCCTCCCAAAGTGCTGGGATTACAGGCTTAAGCCACCGCGCCCGGCCAATTTTTTTTTTTTTTTGACACGGAGTTTCGCTCTTGTTACCCAGGCTGGAGTGCAATGGCGCAATCTCGGCTCAGCGCAACCTCCGCCTCCTGGGTTCAGGCAATTCTCCTGCCTCAGCCTCCTGAGTAGCTGGGATTACAGGCATGCGCCACCATGCCCAGCTGATTTTTTGTATTTTTAGTAGAGATGGGGTTTCACCATGTTGACCAGGATGGTCTCGATCTCTTGACCTTGTGATCCACCCGCCTCGGCCTCCCAAAGTGCTGGGATTACAGGCTTGAGCCACCGCGCCCGGTGTATTTTTTTTTTTTTTTTTTAAATGAAAGGGGGCCGGGTGCAGTGGCTCACAGCTGTAACCCCAGCACTTTGAGAGGGTGAGGCAGACAGATCACTTGAGATCAGGAGTTTAAGACCAGCCTGGTTAACATGGTGAAACCCCATCTCTACTAAAAATACAAAAACTAGCTGGGAGTGGTGGCAGGCACCAGCTACTTGGGAGGCTGAGATAGGAGAATCGCTTGAACCCAGGAGGCAGAGGTTGCAGTGAGCCGAGATGGCGCCATTGCACTTCAGCCTGGGTGACTGACAAAGCGAGACTCCATCTCCAAAAAAAAAAAAAAAGGAAGGAAGAGTGTGGGGGAGCTGCAAGCCCAAGGTCTTTCTGCTGCATGTACTTGTTTCAGACAAGTTAGGACTTCCCCATAACTTTGTGGGGGACACAGCTCAACCCCATAACACATCTCTATGGGAGCGACTGTCCAAAGCAAAGAGTCAGGTTCAAGGAGCTTGTCTGGAGGGTTTGCCCACTCCCTCCCTTATGCACTGAATATTTACTGTGGGCCTTGCCCATGTGCAAGGAATGTTTGGGTCAGGCAGGATGGACTGTGGGCTTTGGTGCAGCCCAGAAAGAATCTGTGCAGCTGGGCGCGGTGGCTCATGCCTGTAATCCCAGCACTTTGGGAGCCCAAGGCAGGTGAATTACCTGAGGTCGGGAGTTTGAGACCAGCCTGGCCAACATGGTGAAACTCCACCTTTACTAAAAATGCAGAAGTTAGCAAGGCGTGGTGGCACGCGCTTGTAGTCCCAGCTATTCGGGAGGCTGAGGCAGGAGAATTGCTTGAACCTGGGAGGCGGAGGCTGCAGTGAGCTGAGATCGTGCCCCTGCACTCCAGCCTGGGCAACAGAGTGAGACTCCGTCTCAAAAAAAAAAAAAATTGCTTGAACCCAGGAGGCAGAGGTTGTAGTGAGCCAAGATGCGCCACTGCACTCCAGCCTGGGCAACAGAGTGAGACTCCGTCTCAAAAAAAAAAAAAATTGCTTGAACCCAGGAGGCAGAGGTTGTAGTGAGCCAAGATGCGCCACTGCACTCCAGCCTGGGCAACAGAGTGAGACTGTCTCAATAAAAGGAAAAAAAAAAGTCATACAAGATTGGGAACAGGTGAGTCAGAGTCCTGCCCTCTTGTGTTTATAGAAGGAATCTACTTGGAGACCAAGGTGGGCGGATCACCTGAGGTCGGGAGTTCAAGACCAACCTGACCAACATGGTGAAACCCCATCTTAAAAAAAAAAATGAAAGAAAGAAAGGAAAGAAACGAAAGAAAGAAAGAAAGAAAAAGAAAGAAAGAAAGAAAGAAAAAGAAAGAAAGAAAGAAAGAAAGAAAGAAAGAAAGAAAGAATCTACTTAAAGGGCTGAAATGCAAGGTAGGGAGTTCTGAGTGCCAACAAGGATGGCAGGAGGAGATAGACGATCTGGGGAGGAGGACAGCTTAGCTCCAGCTAGGGCTGAGAATGGCTCTCTGGGGAGGGAGTGGCCTTTGAACTGTGCCTTGCATGACTGGTAGGCATTGGAGAACAGGCAGTGCAGAGGGGCCGTTCCAGGTGGGGCAGAGAGTGCACACAGGCTTGCAGGTGGGAGGAAAGCTTTGGGCAGATGTGGGAAGGGGCTGAGCTTAGCTGGAGCGAGGGGCGCGTGCCATGAAGAGTAGCATGGCAGCTTGACAAGGCCAGCTGGAGCCAGTAAGTAATTCAGTTCAGAAATTCTTACTGTACCAGGGAAGAGTAACAGGGAAAGACTCAGAAAGAGTGTCTCCTGGACAGGCACAGTGGCTCACACCTGTAATCCCAGCACTTTGGGAGGCCAAGGCAGGTGGATCACAAGGTCAGGAGTTCGAGACCAACCTGCCAACATGGTGAAACCCCATCTCTACTAAAAGTACAAAAATTAGCCAGGTGTGGTGGCATGCACCTGTAGTCCCAGCTACTCAGGAGGCTGAGGCAGGAGAACCGCTGGAACCCAGGAGGTAGAGGCTGCAGTGAGCCGAGATTGCGTCACTGCACTCCAGCCTAGGCGACAGAGTGAGACTCCGTCTCAAAAAAATAAAAAAAGAAAGAGAGTGTCACCTGAATATGTGTGATGTACATTTCATCTGTTAACTTTGTCTTAGGGAAGAAGGAGGGGCCAGTGTGAGTGACGTCAGTGACACTGAGGTGAATGTGGGCATTGCCAGTGGTGCTCCATCAGTGCCTATGGTAGGTACAGCCAGAGACGGCCCCTTAGTGACCATCGTCCACACAGTGGGAGAGAGGGCGCAGGGCCTGGGAGGGCCCTGATGCTCTGGCTAAAGCGCTTGCCTCACTTGCTTAGTGAAATGTGAATGCGGATGCGGATGCTTGGCCCATCTGCCTCTGTGGGTTTGGGGTCTCATGCCTGGAAGCGTTCAGGCCTGGGGAAGCCCCGTGTGAGAATTGCGCACAGCCCTCCTGGTGTCCTGTCACTGCTCTTCCTTCTGTCACCTCCAGGTAGAAATCAGTGGTTGGTGTGAGGTCACCCACTAAGATGCTTGCTTTAAGTACAACGTGTGAACCATGCAGCCTGGATGGCAGTGGCCGGGGGTCCCCAGGCTGCTAGCAGGATTCGTCAGGGATTCAGAGCTGTGGAGGCTGAAATCACATAGTGAAAACGAAGTTGCCTGGGCCATTGGCCTGGGCCCTGTGTCTGCAGGTGTGAGGGATGCGGGATTAGTTCACGCTCTGGGGGGCGGCCCCTGTGCTTTTACCGTCGTCTTGCTGTGACTGCTGAGGTTTCACGGGCACTGTGACTGATCACCTAACAGCAGTCATTTATATGGCACCTTGTAGCTTCCAGAGAGCAATTCCATTTATTGCTCGTTGACTCTGTGACTTGAGTGTTGTCATCATCCTGCCAAAGGCCAGGTTCACAGAGGGAAGTGATGGGCTGTGTGGAGTGAGGTGGCCCTTTAGCATCACCCTGGCTTTAAATCAGGGCACTAGATCTCCCTTGAGTCTGTTTGTTTGTTTGAGACAGAGTTTTGTTCTGGTGGCTCAGCCTCACGAGTAGCTGGGACTGCAGGCATCTGCCACCATACCTGGCTAATTTTTGTATTTTTAGTAGAGATGAGATTTTGCCATGTTGGTCAAGCTGGTCTCAAACTTCTGACCTCAGGTGATTCACCTGCCTTGGCCTCCCAAAGCGCTGGGATTACAGGCGTGCGCCACCGCACCCAGCTGAGTCTGGTTCTTCCACAGGCTCTTAACCACGGAGCCTCCGCTTCCTCACTGGTGAAGCGGCGATGATGACGATGATCGTAGTGAATGTCTCTTGAGTGTTTTTTATTTTTTTTTTGAGACAGCTCTCGCTCTGTCCCCCAGGTTGGAGTGCAGTGGTGCCATCATGGCTCACAGCAGTTTAACTTCCCAGGTTCAAGTGATCCTCCTGCCTCAGCTTCCTGAGTAGCTGGGACTGTTGGTGCATGCCACCGTGCCCAGCTAATTTTTGTACTTTTTTTTGTAGAGATGGGGTTTTGCCCTGTTAGCCAGGCTGTTCTTAAACTCTTGGGCTCAAGTGATCCGCCTGCCTCAGCCTCTCCAAGTACTGGGATTACAGGCGTGAGCCACTGCGCCTGGCCCCTCTTGAGTGCTTTGTGTGCTCCAGGGGCTGTTTAGTGCTTTACGTGTGTTCACGCATTTAACCCTGACTGTAGCCCGTAAGCTGGGTACTACTCTTCTTTTTCCTCTTGTGAGATCGAGTCTTGCTCTGTCGCCCAGGCTGGAGTGCAGTGGTGTGATCTCGGCTCACTGCAACCCCTGCCTTCTGGGTTCCAGCAATTTTCCTGCCTCGGCCTCCCGAGAGCTGGGATTATAGGTGCGCACCACCAAGCCCAGCTAATTTTTTGTATTTTTAGTAGAAGCGGGGCATTCATCATGTTGGCCAGGCTGGTCTCGAACTCCTGACCCTGTGATTCACCTGCCTCGGTCTCCCAAAGTGCTGGGATTACAGGTGTGAGCCACCACACTAGATACTATTCTTCTCAGTATTTTACACAAGGAAATGGAGATTCAGAGAGGTTAAGTACCCTGCCCAAAGTCACACAGCCAGTGAGTGGTGGAGCTAAGCCTCAAACCTGAGCCACAGAGCCCGTACTCTATTACTGTCCCCCGTCCTACCTCTGTGACGCTCCTGGCCTTACCAGCAGGGTGTGGAAGGCACAGGCTGGCACTGTGTGGTGCCATCACGGGAATGCCTTCTTCCTCCCTTTCCCAAGGCCAGTTAGGTCCAGGTCCCTGTCTCCATATCCCATGCCTTTCTGCACCATCAAGTTGCCCCCAAAGTAGAGCCTTTGCTGGTCCCTGGAGGAGGTGCCTCCGTTCAGAAGAGGCCTTCAATGCTCATAGGCCCCTTGGCTTCGAAGCCGGGTTTTGCCTGGAACTGCTTCCTCAGATGAAACTGTATGTGGAAGTGTAACGAGGCATACTGCCTTTATTTTTAAAATAACACTCTTTCTTTTGCTGTCATCCTGGGTAGAGGCTGGTGACTGGTGGGAGTGTAAGATTGTCTTTTTTTTTTTTTTTTTTTTGAGATGGAGTCTTACTCTGTCACCCAGGTTCGAGTACATGATCTTGGCTCACTGCAACCCCCACCTCCTGGGTTCAGGTGATTCTCCTGCCTCAGCCTCTGAGTAGCTGGGATTACAGGTGCCCACCACCACACCCAGCTAGTTTTTGTATTTTTAGTCACCATGTTGGCCACACTGGTCTTGAACTCCTGACCTCAGGCAATCCACCTGCTTTGGCCTCCCATAGTGATGGGATTACATGTGTGAGCCACCATGCCCAGCCCAGATAGACACTTACAGTCACTCTGTAGTTCCAGAGGGTGACTTGAAGTAGGGAGACAGGCAGTGCCTGGAGGGACATGGGTCAGGTATGCCGACCCCCATTCACCCATCGGAAGTTGGCTCGAGGGTCCCCTTCTCAAGGCGGCCTTCCCCAGCTGCCCTGCCTCTGGCTTTCAGAGCCCCGTGTGCCCCTCCTTCGTGTCTCTTGGCACAACTGCAATTGAACACTCCCGGGTGATGACTTAATGACTACCTGTCTCTCCCACCAGACCAGGGCTTCTCAGCCTTGGCACAGTTGACATTTGGGGCTGGATAATTGGTTGAGAGGGGTCACCTGTGCAAGTCGAATGTTGCGCGGCATCCCTGGCCTGGACAAGCCTGATGCCAGAAGCATCCCCCAGTCGAGACAACCAGACTGTCTCTACCCATGCCAGGTGTCCCCTGAGAGATGGAGTCGCCCCTGGCTGAGAACCACTGCTGGGGTAAGATCGAGTTTGGGGTGGGGGAACATAGGTCATTTTGTGTGCTGTTTAAAGGATTACTTGGGTTAAAGGGAAGTGAGTCGTTGACGTTTGTAGCTCTAATATGTTGATCTCTTCCAGGATTATGGCAGGAAAAGTAAAATGGGTCACTGATATCGAGAAGTCAGTGCTGATCAATAACTTTGAGAAGAGAGGATGGGTCCAAGTGACAGAAAACGAGGATTGGAATTTCTACTGGTAAGCATGCAAAGCAGGGCTGCGTGGTTTCTCTGAGGCTTGTGTATCGGTTTTGTTAGTTCCAGTGCCTCGCGGAGAGTGCACCTTGGGACTGGCCTCAGAGCCAGTGTCTCCTGTCGTGTGCCGTCTCCCAGCATGCATTTTTCCTTAGGACTCTCTGTGAGAGTGTGTGTGACGGCGTGTTCCCACCTCGCTGTGTGCAGCCTGTGGTGTGAAGCCCAGGGTGTTTCAGCGCAGCTAAGTGTGAGTAACCCCGTGGGGAACTTGGGTGAGAAACAAGAGCCTCAGCCCTCGCCTTCCAGTGAGCGTGTGTTACAGCTGGCCTGAAGGACAGGGAAGACGGCTGTGGAAGAAGGCTTGGTGCATCTTTTTTTTCTTTTTTCTTTATTTATTTTAAAACGGGGTTTCACCATGTTGGTCAGGCTGGTCTTGAACTCCTGACGTCGGGTGATCCGCCCCCCTTGGCCTCCAAAGTGCTTGGATTACAGGTGTGAGCCACCATGCCCGGCCGGTGCATCTTTTTTTTCAAGACAAAGTCTTGCTCTGTCACCCGGTCTGGAATGCAATGAAGTGAGACCTCAACTCACTTCAACCTCCGCCTCCTGGGTTCAAGCAATTCTCATGCCTCAGCCTCCTGAGTACCTGGGATTACAGGTGCACACCAACATACCTGGCTAATTTTTTGTATTTTTAGTAGAGACGGGTTGTCACCATGTTGGTCAGGCTGGTCTCGAACTCCTGACCTTGTGATCCACCCACTTGGCCTTCCAAAGTGCTGGGATTACAGGCATGAGCCACTGTACCCAGCTACTTATTTATTTATTTTTTTTAACACATGCATATTTCCTAGAAACTGGGTTTCCTCTGTTGCCCAGGCTGGAGTGCCGTGGTGTGATCATACCTCCTGCAGCCTTGCCCTTCTGAGCCCAAGCCGTCCTCCCACCTCAGCCTCCTGAGTTTCTAGGACCACAGGCATGTGCCACCACACCCACCTAACTTTTAAAATTATCTGTAAAGTCAGGGTTTCACCATGTTGTCCAGGCTGGTCTCCAACTCCTGGCTTCAAGCAATCCTGCTTCAGCCTCTCAGAATGTTGGGATCACAGGTGTGAGCCACCACACCTGTCCAGGTGCCTTCTTTTGCTTCCCTGTCCTATGCCAAGAGGGTGCTAGTCAGACTGGCAGACAGACAGCAATAGAAAAGTGAGTCAGGCCAGGCACGGTGGCTCGAGCCTATAATCCCAGCACTTTGGGAGGCCGAGGCAGGTGGATCACCTGAGGTCAGGAGTTCGAGACTAGCCTGGCCAACATGGTGAAATCCCATCTCTACTAAAAATAGAAAAAGTAGCTGGGCATGGTGACGTGCCCTTGTAATCCCAGCTACTTTCGAGGCTGAGGCAGGAGAATTGCTTGAACCCAGGAGGCAGAAGTTGCAGTGAGCCACTGTGCTCCGGCCTGGGTGACAGAGCGGGACTCTGCCTCAAAAAAAAAAAAAAAAGGAAACTGAGTTAGACTAGGACAAGAAAAGCAGTGTTTTGGCTGGGTGCAGTGGTTCACGCCTGTAATCCCAACACTTTGGGAGGCTGAGGCAGGCAGATCAGGAGGTCAGGAGAGATCAGCCTGGCCAACATAGTGAAATCCCGTCTCTACTAAAAATACAAAAAAATTAGCTGGGTGTGGTTGCTCACACTTGTAATGCCAGCACTTTGTGAGGCTGAGGCAGGCGGATCACAAGGTCAGGAGTTCAAGCCCAGCCAGGCCAACGTGGGGAAACCCTGTCGCTACTAAAAATACATAAATTAGCTGGGTATGGTTGTGCATGCCTGTAGTCCCAGCTACTCAGGAGGCTGACACAGGAGAATTTCTTGAACCCGGGAGGCGGAGGTTGCAGTGAACCAAGATTGCGCCATTGCATTCCAGTTTGGGCACAGAGCGAGACTCCGTCTCAAAAAAAAAAAAAAAAAAAAACCAAAGTGCTGGATTACAAACAGGAGCCTGGCCAGCTCTTTATTTTGAAAACTGATGAAAGAATCAAGCAATGATTCTGTTTTGTGTATGAACTGTTCTTAGGGCTTCTATATTGTTGATGAAGGGGAGCTTGTCTCTAGCAGTATTCCTGCTGTTGCAGGCACGGTGGCTTATGCTTGTAATCCCAGCACTTGGGTTGCCTAGGTGGAGGATGAGTTGGGTCGAGGAGTTTGAGACCAGCCTGGGCAACATGGCAAAACCCCATCTCTACAAAAAAAGTTACAAAAATTGAGCTAGACACGGTGGTGCCTTCCTGTAGTCCCAGTTACTTGGGAGGCTGAGGCAGGAGGATCACTTGAGCCTGGGAGGCAGAGGTTGCAGTGAGCCAAGATCAAGCCATGGCACTCCGGCCTGGGTGACAGAGCGAGACCCTGTCTCAAAAATAAATAAATACATAAATATTGCTTTTTTAGTTCTGATAATTGTATAAAATAGGATGTCACATAATAGAACATGGAGTCTTGAACTCTTAGAGAATCTTTATTTATTTATTTATTTATTTTTAAAGATGGGGTTTCACCATGTTGGTCAGGCTGGTCTTGAACTCCTGACCTCAGGTGATCTGCCCGCCTTGGCCTCCAAAGTGCTTGGATTACAGGCATGAGCCACTATGCCCGGCCAGAGAATCTTACAGCAATGTTCTGGATGAAATAATATGATGTCTAGGAATTGGTTCAGAACGTGCCAGTGCTGAGGGGGATGGAGGTTCAGACTAAATGTGACTGGCCACATGCCATTAACTGGCAAAGTGGGGTAATGGGGGTCCCTTAATGCTTTCTCTCTCCTTTATTCTCTTATTCCCTTTATTCTGGCTGTCCTGGAATCCACAGCAGCTCTTTGGGGACTCTGGGCACCCTCTCGAGGGTAGTGCTATGGGGTGGGGGTAGGCTGGGGGCACAGGGGCTGCAGTGCAAGAGGCCGGCGCCACCTGCCATGTTTTGTGACTCAGGCTCTGGGCGGGGGCCAGCCCTTCCTCCATACCCCTTCCCTGCTTTGCAGGGGATTGGTGAGGACAGGCGTGTGACAGGGAGACCGTGGCTTTCTCAGAGGCTTGGAAGGAATCCATTTCCCTTTTAGCTCTGTCGTCCCCCACTTGCCGCCTCAGCAAACTCTGCAAGGATTTCAAGTACTGACTCAGGGCTCTTACATATAACCCCTGTGATTTTGTTTTTAAAGGGTCCTTGGGCCGGGCATGGTGGCTCATGCCTGAAATCCCAGCACTTTGGGAGGCCAAGGCGAGCGGAACATCTGAGGCTGGGAATTCGAGACCAGCCTAACCAACATGAAGAAACCCCGTCTGTACTAAAAATATAAAAAATGAGGCGTGGTGGCTTGTGCCTGTAATCCCAGCTACTCGGGAGGCTGAGGCAGGAGAATCGCTTGAACCTAGGAGGTGGAGGTTGCTGTGAGCCAAGAGCACACCATTGTACTCCAGCCCGGGCAACAAGAGCATAACTCTGTCTCTAAAGAAATCAATAAATAAAATTAAAAAGTAAAAAAATAAAGGGTCCTTGACTTTCCTGAATTTGGGTGCAGATATTGTTTAAATGAGTTTCTTGACTTCAGAGTCTGAAAAGGGTATATATTTTATTTGTTGACAGTGTTATTATTAATCAGTGTTATCACTAATCAATAAACATTTATGGAGCTCCTGCTCCTGGCCAGAGAGGGAGGCCGGGGCACAGAATCAGCACAGTTCCTGGCCCTCACACAGCTTGGGTCCCAGCCTGTCCCAGCCAGGGCCGGGCAGCCCCTGGCTCAGGTGCCAGGGGATATGGGAGTAGTGGGGAAGGGTGCTGAGGGTTCTGGATGTTTGCAGGGATGGGAACAAGGACTTCTGCCACACAGACATCACTACCGAGCGTCTGTCCTGCTCATCTCTTACAGGATGAGCGTGCAAACCATCCGAAATGTGTTCAGTGTCGAAACTGGATATCGGCTCTCAGACGATCAAATAGTCAACCATTTTCCAAACCACTATGAACTGACCCGGAAGGATCTGATGGTGAAGAACATCAAAAGATACAGGAAGGAGCTAGAGAAAGAAGGGAGTCCCCTGGCAGAAAAAGATGAAAATGGAAAATACCTCTATCTGGGTTTGTGCCTTTTCCCCGGCTCATGTTTTCAATTAACAGCTAAATGTTTTCTTTGGGGCTTGAGGCACCGAGGTGGTGACTGCTGGCTTTGGCACATGAGCGTGTCCACGCGGGTGTCACTTCAGGTGTCTCCAGAATGAGGGAGCAGGAGGAGTTTGAGTTTGGCATCTGAATTTCTGCGAGTGCCTTGGGAATTGCCTGGCATGGGCTTTGTGCAAGCCAGAGAATGCCCTCAGTGCTCAGCCTAGGGAAACATTTCTTGAGCCACAGGCTGCCACGAGGGCTCATGACTGCCTGTCTGGCTCTACCCAGGGAAGACACTGTGTCCCTGTCCAGTCCAGGGATAAAAGCTGGACTGAATAGTTTCGGATTCCTGCACAAACCTGGGCAGAATTTGATAACTGACCTCCCTGAGCCTCAGTTTGCTCATCTGCTAAATGGGAATTATTACAGGGTATACAGTAGCTCGCAGGTGGCTGTGGGGATTGAAAAATACAGGTTTCAGGCGCACGTGGTGGCTCACGCCTGTAATCCCAGCACTTTGGAGGCCAAGGCAGGCAGATCAAGAGATCAAGACCATGGGCCGGGCGTGGTGGCTCATGCCTGTAATCCAAGCACTTTGGAGGCCAAGGTGGGCGGATCACCTCAGGTCAGGAGTTCAAGACCAGCCTGACCAACATGGTGAAACCTTGTCTTTATAAAAATTAAAGAAAAAGAGATCAAGACCATCCTGGCCAACATGGTAAAACCCCGTCTCTACTAAAACTACAAAAATTAGCTGGGTGTGCTGGCGCGCACATGTAATCCCAGCTACTTGGGAGGCTGAGGCAGGAGAATCACTTGAACCCAGGAGATGGAGGTTGCAGTGAGCTGAGATCATGCCACTGCACTCCAGCCTGGGCAACAGAGCAA